CGGCCGCGGGCAGGCGCCCCCGGCAGACTCCCGGGACTGCTCGCCGCCGGGGCCCGACTCCTCGGACAGCGGGAGGTCGACGGGACGTCGCGGCCGCGACGTTCCGCGACGTTCTGGCCTGGCACAGTGAGCGCGGCCGCTGGCCACGGCGCCAGCGCCCCGGAAGGGGGCCCGAGGATGACTTGGCGAGGAGGTGGCAGAGGTGGAGGGGGACCAGCAGGCTGCAGCCAGCGGCCCAGGTCCTAAAGGAGCGCATCGACGCGCTGGTGCAGGCCGGTCGGGAATCGAGGCTGGAGGATGAGCGCGCCGAGGGCGCGGAGCAGGCACTGCGGATGCTGCACCAGCACTGGCGCGAGGGGAACGACGTCCACGACGAGGACCGTTGGAGGCATCCCGCCCTGCATCGGTCGCGCGGCGGCCAGCGCCCATACCCCGGCCTCTCGAACCTGTGCAACACCTGCTACCTCAACGCGCCCTTGCAGTGCCTCCCCCACTGCCCCGCCGCGCGCGCCGCGCTCCTGGGGGCGGAGGGCCAGGGCGAGCCGCTGATTCTGCAGGACGCGGGGTGGGGGAAATCTCGTCGATGTCTTCACTCCGGCACAGCCCCCGGTTGATTTTTGGGGTTCCTCCCTCCGCAGGGGAGGGGAGACGATTGGCGCGTCGACAGGGCGGGGTATGGGAGGCAGTCGGCCTGGGTTTCTCACCCCCTCTCGAGGAGCTGCGCGCCCTGGCGACCGCCTGCGTGCGCGGGGCGCCGCCGAGCCTGGCGGAGGGCGACGGCGGCGCCGCGCCAGCGCCGGCCCGCGTGGACCGCTGGTCCCCGCACGCCTTCGTGGACGCGTTCCTCGCGAAGCACTGGGTGGACTTCAAGCTGGGGAGGTACGCGGACGCGAGTGAGGCGCTGTCGTTCATCCTGGAAGACGCGCCTGGTCTCGCCAGCCTCTTCCAGACCGGATGCGACGAGGAAGCCATGATGAGGCTCCCGGCATTCGTGGACGGGGCAGACGACGGCGACGACGCCCTGTCGCCGCAGGACTTCTTCCTCGACGGGGGCGCGCAGCGACTGGACGTGCGAGAGCTGCTCCGCCGCGGCGCCTCCATGGGCGGGCGACTGCGATCGAAGCCCGAGTTGCTGGCGGTCCACGTGCCCCAGAGGTGGGAGCGGGGCGACGGCGCGGCGCTCTTCCTCGGCGGCTGCGACATCGCGCCCTACTGGGGTGACCTCCCGGAGGTGGCTCTGAGGGCGGGGGGGGAAGACGTCGCGTACCGCCTGCGCGCCTACGTGCAGTACATCCTGCCCGAGGGATCGGAAGCCGTCCCATCCCACTTCCTGAATGACCCCCAGGGCCACTTCGTGGCTCACGTCGAGGACGGGAGCTGGTACACTGCAGACGACCTGGGCGATCGGCCGCACGTGGTCCAGTGGGCGCCTGGCACCGAGCACAAGATACCTTGCATGATCTTCCTTGAGAAGGTGGACTCCAGGGCGGCCCGCGCCGAGGCGCGCCCGTGGCCGCCCGGGCCGGTCGTCGACGGCGCGGAGGGCGCGGGCGGCGACGGCGACGGCGACGCGGACGGCGAGGACAGCCCCGGCCTCGACGGGAAGTGCGACGAGGAGGAGGACGGGGCCGGCGACGCTGGCGTGCCGGGCGCGCGGAAGCGGCCGGCGGCGTCCACGAGGAGCGGCGCCCCTGCCAAGAAGCGGCTCCGCCTCCGAGGGAAACAGAGCGCTGCTGGACGGCAGCAGAGCCGCGCTGGGAGGCAGCAGAGCCGCGCTGGGAGGCAGCAGCAGCAGAGCCGCGCCGGGAGCCAGCAGAGCCGCGCTGGGAGGCGGCAGCAGCAGAGCCGCGCTGGGAGGCAGCAGGCCAGGGAGGATCAGAAGCGCGGTTGCAAGCCGGAGGAGGTACTGCGACAGGGGCGGAAGCCGAAGAGCAAGTGCGACAACGCCGACGGATCCAGACAGGACTCCCAGAACAACGCCGCCGCCCCTGTCCTCCGCAGCAGCAGGGAGGCGAAGAGCTTGCAGACCGCCAGCGAGGAGCGCCGGTTGTGTGGGGATCTCTTCCTGCTCCTGCACTTGCTGGAGCCGCTGGTCGCTGCCGATGACCTGCTGAAGCATTACCCTGACTTCTTCGTCTACGCGGGCGACGACTGCACCCGCCGATGGGCGACGTTCCTGCAGGCACCCGATCGACCCGACAAGTTGGCCGGGAGACTGCGGGAAGCGCTCGGGGTCACGGAGAACGAGATTTCCGACGCCAAGCGCCGGAGAGCGGGGAGTGGCACGTGCACCACGTCGCGGAGCTCCTGGACGAGCGCCTGGGCTCCGCCCACGGCGCCCCCTCCGTGGCGGCCGCGGCCCGCTTGGCGGCGAGCGACGCGTCGGCCGCGCTGGGCGACGGCAACCCGCTGAGGGCGCACCTCGCGGAGGCGTGGCAGCGCAGGCCCTGCAACCGCGGCCCTCCCCGGCACGCCGCCATGCCTGCGCGCCTTCGGGATCGCTCTGACTGGTTCCAGTGCCCCGCGCCTGCGCTGCATTATTATATGCCTGCCGCATGTGCGAGGCCGAGTTCCCCAGCAGGGAGGCGTTCAAGGCGCGCCAGGGCAGAGTCCACGGGGGGCAGCGGTGGTACCAGTCGCAGTATGTGGCGCGGTGCGAGCTGGGGCCCTACCAGCCGTCGCCGACCGAGGAGCGCCAGGCGAGCGGGCGGCGGGGAACTGCGCCCAGCCCTCGGAGACGTGCCCTTAGCGCTGGCGCTCCCGGCGCCAGCGCTAAGGGCATCGAGAGCGCTGGGGGTCGGGCGGTGCTCCCCGCCATCGCTGCAGGTGGTTGCCAGGTTCCACATTTCCCAGTGCTGCGCCACCGTCGACCCCGTGGACGAGCCGTTCGTCCCGAAGCCTGAACCGGAGGTGCAGAAGCAGCTGCTCCACGCGGAGATCATCGGCAGTATCGTCGGCAAGATCGGGCAGGGGGGGCCCGCGGAGGAGATCTCCCGGCAGGCGGCCGGCGCGGCGGAGTCGGCAGCCCGCGCTCAGGCGGCGTGTCAGGCGAGGGGGCCCCGCGCTTTCCAGGCCTGCGTCTGCTGCGCCATGCAGCAGTGGTCCGAGAACCTCCACTCGGAGTACCTCGTCGGCGACAAGTGCACCATAAAGGACCGGGCCCAGTTCGCGGACTGCCTGTCGGCCGAGTGGCATCACCAACGATGTCCCCTCATACCGCGCGACGAGCTGATGTCGTCGGCCGTGGACTTCCCCCACAACGACTGCGAGGGCTCGCCGACGTCCACGAAGATACTCATGCACAAGAGGCGCGTGCCGCCCGAGGCGCTCGAAGGGAAGGTGCCGGTGAAAGTGTGCGAGGATTGCCGGAGAGACCTGTGGTCTGATCACCCCAAGGTGCCGCTCATGGCGCTGTTGAACGACCTCTGGCTGGGCCGCCACCACCCCCTGCTCAGGAAGGCCGCTCTCGCACACCAGATGCTGCTTGCGCTCGGCCGCGTCGTGTCCACGAAGATCTACCTGTCCAGCAAGGGCGCCGACAAGGCCGTCCGGCAGGAGCAGCAGTCGTGGAGGCAGAAGTTCTTGCAGTACGCCATGCAGGGCACCGCCATCGTGTTCGGGAACGGGAACGTGGACCACGCGATACGGAGCTTCCCGCCGGAGCCCGACATGCTCAGGGACACGTTCGTGGCCGTCTTCGCGGGCGCCGACGACGACGAGGAGGGCGCCCCCCTGACCGAGGAGCAGAAGCAGGAGAGGGCCTTGAGAGCCATGAGGGAGGAGGTGGCGCTGCACGTCGACAAGGCGGAGTACGACGCCCAGGCGCGGTTGTTGAAGCAGCACAACTACGTGTACAATGACCCGGGCGTGCAGTACCGATCGGACCTCGTGGACCGGTTCCCCCCGCAGCCGGGCGTGCCCGACTTCATGCTGGCCTGCGCGAAGTATGTCCCCGCGGACGCGGCGCTGGACGACGTCGCGCAGGCGCAGGGTCCCGCGTCGGCCACCACCGGTGCGCAGGCAGAGATGAGCGCGGCCGCCGAGGACGCGCAGGAGCTGACCAAGTGGCTGTCCGTCCTCGAGGACCACATGGACGACGTCAGCGAGCTCACGCCCCTGCCGGCGCTCCAGGGCATGCTCGAGAGGATGGAGAGTCAGGCGGGTCGCGTGGTGGCCAACGAGCTGATGTCCAGACTCGAGGACCAGGGAGGCGATGATAGGGCGCTGCAGCTGGACGAGATCGGGCGTTGCCGCCTGCGGGACCTCTGCCAAGAGTTCCACGCGCGCTGTCGGAAGATCTCCCCGGGGGAGGACATGGCGAAGCTGCACTGGCGCGTCCAGGCGCTGGAGACCAACAACTGTCAGGCGGAGGAGGGCGCGGGCGACTTGTCGCGATCTGCAGGAGTCGCGGGGACTCCCGCCGAGGACGATCCGCGCTCCTTGCAGGGACCGCCCGGCCCAGACGGCCAGCGGAAGGCGAGGCTTCGGGTGCCCACTTCGAGGAAGGCGGAGAGCTGGTGGAATCCGAAGTACTGGTCGATTGCCAGGCCCACGGACTTCTGCTACGGGGACTGCGCCTGGGGCCTCGGCCAGCCCCCCCCGGACGGAGATGAGGACCCGCAGAGGCAGAAGGAGGCTCGGCTCTGCTTCAGCGCGGCGCACTTCATCAAGAATCTTCTCACGCGGGAGGAGATGGAGTACGATGTGCCTTCGGACGAGGAGAAGTACGTGGCCAGGCCCATCAGTCGTTTCCGGAGCTGCTGGTACGACGTGCACCTACTGTGCTCCTTCTGGAGAGTCACGGAGACGACCAACAGCACCTACACCTTCATGAAGACGCCCGGGGCGTTCGGGGCCGCTCGCGCCTGCGCGGGCATCACGCCGGAGATGATCGAGGAGGTGCAGCTCAGGGCGCAGCAGACGGGCGGGAAGGCCACGCTGCACGGCATCCTCAAGGACAAGGACACCCCGAACGAGGTGCGCAAGGCCTTCGCCACCCTGGGCCAGGCCACTGCCGGCCAAGTCGGGTCCGACGGACACAGGCGGGAGCTGCGCGGAGAGGGCGAGGCGCATGCCCTGCGCTTCGGCCCGCCCGTCCAGTTCGTCACCCCGAATCTGGCAGACACCAAGCAGCCCCTGACCCTGATCGTGCAGGGGGAGGAGTACACCTTCGACAACGACCTGACCGAGGCGGAGCAAGTCACGTTCAGCGAGATGTCGCAGCGCATCACCGCGGACCCCGAGGGCCAGGCCGTGGTGTTCGAGCTGATGATGAGGCTGTTCTTCGTCCACGTCCTCGGCCTGCGCCCGGAGACCGTCGGGTGGCGGCGAGGAGAAGTCCGAAAGGCTTCGGAGCACTGGATATCCGACGGCGTGGCGGCCGACCTCATGGGCGTGCCCACGGTGTTCGGCCCCCTCGCGGCGGCCTTCGGCCCGGTCGAGGCTCAGGGCCGCGGCTCGCTGCGCCCTCACATCCTCATCTGGCTGCTGCAGGGTCAGCTGCGCGTGCTCTTGGACATGCTGCAGCGCGACGAGGCGCGCTTCCAGGAGCGCTTGAACCTGTGGATGCGGCAGGTGGTGCAGGCCGTGGTCGCCACTCAGCAGAGCGCCGTGGAGCTGCTGCCCCTGCAGCTGCAGGGGGGCGAGAACAAGTGCGGGGTCACGGTGCCGCCGCTGCCGTTCGGGCCCAACGAGAAGCGGTACTTCCGGGCCGACGGGGGCGCGGAGATGGCGACTGCAGAGCAGCTCGGGGACGGAGGCGAGACGGAGCCGCAGGAGCTGTGGTTCTACGAGCCCTAGGTAGACGACTACCACAGGGCGATTCGCCCCGATCTGCCGCTGCGCAACAACGGCGGCGAGATCGTGGACGACGTTGCGGCGTGGACAGAGCAGAGGGCCGCGGAGAACAAGGGGTACTGGCGGCGGCCGCTCTCCAGCAGCGCCTCCGGCATCTTCCCGAGGTACCGCGGCGGGGGCACCCTGGCGGAGTCTCTCCCGAGCGAGGAGTGGATTCGCGATGTGCCGCGACGTGCGCGAGCTCGTCATCGGCTGCGGCATCCACGTCTGCAGCCCCTCATGCTACAAGTACCATTCCGACAGGACGCGCGGCTCGCAGATCTGCCGCCACAACTTCTACAACCTGGTGAAATTGTGCACGTGGACCGAGGGTGAGGACTCCCGAGAGTGCCGACTCCGCACGCGCGGGAAGGCGCTGCGCGGCTGCATCGGCATATTCCGGGAGACGGACTACGGCATGGCCGGACGCATCGTCACCTTCCAGCTCCACCCCGGGGAGACCTCCACGAAGTACGCGGCACTCGTCGCGGCGCGGTGCAACGTGGACGTGCAGGACATGAGACGGGTGCTGCCCCCGCGCCTGTGGATGGATGCGTCGGAGCTGGAACCGCCGGCGAACGAGGAGGACCGCAAGAGCTACAACCATGGCCTCTACCCTCAGCGCTACGCCGACTTCTCGGTGGGCGCCCGGGAGGACTGGGGATGGTTCCAGCATCTGAACACCACGCCCGCGGAGAAGTGGGACCTCGTCGTACTCACCGACTTGCACGGGATCTACAGGACACTCGCGAACCGCGACAGCCCCGCCGTGGACAGTGGCGACGCTGCGCGCGCCGATCTCCAGCGCGACCTGGAGCGGCACGCGCTGGCCACCTTCGTGGACGCCCACAACACGAGCTACTACGTCAACTCGTACACCACGAAGGTGAAACCCAGCATGGACGACGTGCTTTGCAAGCTCCTTGACGGCGTGCGCCGCCTGAAGAGCCAGTGGGACGACAAGGAGGCGCAGGCCGCGGGCGACGCCGGCGACGAGGCCCAGTCGACAGCCGCAGGAAAGCGCAAGGAGGATTTCAAGCGCACGCTGCAGGTGCTGGCCCGCTTCGAGACCTGCTTCCGCAGGGCCTCCTGGAAGAGCGGCAGCGAGATGGTCTTCCCCATGCTCTTCGGGCACCTCTCCTTCATGTCGCACCGTTGCTGGAAGGTGTTCATGCGGAAATCCATCTACCTCGCCGCGGAGACCTGGCGCAGGCGGCACGGCCAGGCCGACACCGCGGAAAGCGCACCCGCCGCCTCGATCACGTACGCGGTCCCCGGCACTGGACAGCAGGTCGCGATGCCAGGGTGGCGCGAGGTGCAGCGCGAGGGCGAGACGGTGTACGTCAGCCCCGACGGCGAGGAGTTCGACACGATCGAGTACGCGCACCAGGCGTTCCAGATCGCGAGCGCCAGCGGCAGCTCGCTGCGCGACGTGACGAAGGCGCTGAACAAGTTGCGGGAAGGCGAGGCCGAAGAGGTGCCCGAGGCACCGGGGCCGACTGTCGAGGGCCTCGCGCAGGGCAAGTTCAGGGGCGCAGTGCTGAGCCAGCACGACGACTGGATGCACCGCGGAGACCACCCTATTGTCCGAGACATGAACTTGTACGTCTACAGCATCTGGGTGTACCGCGTGGAACTGCCGCTGCATGCCCTTCCGGCCGGGGAGCTGGATCCCGAGGGCAGCGGGGGTCGCACCCTGCACGTCGACATCGCCTTCGACTCCTCCTACTCGGCGGCGCGGAACTGGACGCAGAGGCTGGCCGTCGAGCCGCGCATCCCGAAGGCCGAAGGCTTCCAGTTCGTGAGCGCGGAGTCGAACGTGGAGACGCACTACCTCATGAAGTCGGTGCTGCTCCGGCCAGTGCGCCTGCCGGACGCCGACGGCCCCAACGACACGAAGGAGCTGCGCTACCTCCGCGCGTACGAGCACCTGTGCGCGGCGCCGGAGGGCGAGCCGGAGTGGCCGGCGCAGCCGGCGGGGGAGGGCGTGGCGGGCCCGTTCCAGCGCGGCTGGGAGTCGTTCGCCACCGCCCAGGAGCAACTGGCGAAGACGGCCCGGGCGAAGTGCCTCAGGAATGACGTCGGGTCGTGGGCGACGCCCAGCATCTGGAACACGGAGGAAGTCGAGTCCGCGCTGCGCGAGAAGCGCAGCGACCGCCGCGAGGACGTGCAGCCTCCGTGCCAGTGCGCCCAGTGCGCGGAGCTGGGCAACTGGCTGGGCAGCATGCTGACGGTGCAGGAGTACCTGGCCCTGGAGACCACGAAGACCGCGGCCAACTTCGACGGCATCTCCAAGGCGAAGGCTTCGAAGCCGAAGAGGCCGCAGAAGGACGACGCGCAGGTCGCGGAGGCCCCCGTGTTCCGGGAGGGCGCCGAGGATTCGGGGGCGGGCGCCGCGCAGGTGGAGGCCCAGGGCATCCGCGCTCAGGACGGCTTCGCGAAGCTGGGCGCCAACGTTGTCCTGGAGCACCACTTCGGCCCCGAGACGCTCGGGCAGATCTTGCGCTTCGACACCGCCGAGCGCACGCAGGCATTCGTGAAGGAGCTCAAGAAGGCCGCCACGATGATGGAGAACGGCGCGCTACCCGGGCCGACTGACGCCGACGCGCCGCGGCGTGCTGCCCGCGCCCTGAAGGAAGACGTCCTCGCTCCGTTCAGGGCTTTGCGCGACCTCGACGCAGAAGAGCTGAAGGACCTGGTGGAGACCCAGCGAAAGAGGTTCGCCAAGGGGGGCACGAAGGACGCGGACGTGCCCGCGGACGACGCCCCCGAGCCGGACGACGTCGGGGCAGCGGGTGCTGGCGCGATGCCGGCCGAGGCGGCGCAGGCGCGGTGGGAGCCGTCGAGTTGCAGCGGCCCAGCGACCTCGTCAAGCGCCTCGTCAAAAAGTTCGAGGACGGCGTGGTCAACCCGAGCACGGGGAAGCAGGGGCGCCGCCCTCTGAAGCCCGACCAGGCCCTGTTCGTCACGGCGTTCGCGAACGCCTGCAACGTGGCGTGGGACGAGGAGCAGAAGATCGAGGACGGCAGCATGGCCAAGCACGCGAAGCGGAAGACGTTCCAGTTCCTGCTCCTCGGCCAGGGCGGCAGCGGGAAGACAGCCATGGTGCAGGAGATCGTGCTGCCGGCCATGGACGCGCTGTTCCCTGTGGAAACGGGCAAGGCGAAGTCCACGCTGATAGTCTGCGCGAAGTGGTTGTGTGGTATGTTGGGTGTTGGTGTGTTTCTTTGGGTGTCCCAGTCCCTTGTGTTGTTGTTGTTTTGTGGTTTCACCCCGAGCAAGCCAGTGTGTTTTTTTTTGTGGTGTGGTTGTTTATGTGGGTGAGTGGTTGTTTTATTTGTTGTCCGTGTTTTTTTTTATTTGTTGTGTTTTTTTGGTGTTTGTGTTTGGTTGGGTGTTTTGTATTGTTTGTTTGTTGTATATTGTGTTTTTTGTGTTGGTTTTTGTGTTTAGGTGTCTTGTTTGTATGTGTTGTTGTTGTGTTTAGTTTGTGTTTCCTGTTGTCCCACCGGTTTTTTTTTGGTTAATATGGTTATAGTTATGTGTGTGTGTGGTTTGGTGGTTGTTGTCGTTTATGGTTTTGTTGTTTGTGGTGTGTTTTTGTGTTGTATTTTTTTTTGTTTTCAAACCAGAAGGGAAAGGGGGGGGAAAGGGGTAGGGGGGGGGGGGGGTGAATAGTGAGGGCCGCGAACATCTCCACGGACGCTCACAAGGCCGTCATTTGCCACCGGGCGGGCGTCATAGGAGTGCAGTCCTTCAGGAACAAGTACATACCCGCGGGGGGCAAGCTGAAAGCGCTGCAGGACACGTGGGAGGCGGTCAGGTGCTTGATCCTGGAGGAGGTGAGCATGATCTCGCCCAACCTGTACAACATGCTGGCGTTCCGGTCCTACCTGGGACGCAAGGCCGAGCGGGGCGCGCAGGAGCGGGAGTACGACCAGGTCGGCGGCGCCTTCGGACGGATGCCCATCGTGATCCACCTGGGGGACTTCCTGCAGCTGAAGCCGACGGGAGGCAAGGTGTCGCTCATCTCCAGCTTCGAGGAGCTGGCGGCGGCGGGCATCAACCTCGCTCCAGAGTACCAGGCAGTGATGACGCTCTTCTGCAACACGCCGCTGTGCTTCGAGCTCCAGGCGTCCAGCCGCTTCAAGGACCCGAAACTCAGGGACCTCATGGCGTTCCTGCGCAAGCCGGGGAAGCAGGTCCCTCCGGCCATCCGGGCCACGTGGAACGCCATGCAGCTGAAACCCGATGATCGCCGGCTCCGGGAGGGGAGGTTCCAGAACGGCCACATGATCGGGTCCTACTGGGACACCGTGGCGCGCTGGATGAACATGCGTGCTCAGCGGGACGCGGACGTCCTGAAGAAGCCCCTGTTCCTCGTGCAGGCCGCCGACAGGTCTGCACCGACGATGAGCGTCAAGGACGCCGCCAAGATGATGAACTGTGCCAACCCGAAGAATACCGGTGGCATGCACGGACTGCTCCCGGCGCACGTGGGCATGCGGATCCGGCTCCTGGAGGCGCTCGACTTCAAGAACGGCCTCGTCAAGGACGCCGAGGGGCAGATCGTGCACATCGTCGTGGACCCTCGGGATCGGGGCGACGTCGAGAGAGCAGAGAGAGACGGGGAGAAGAGAATCTACCTGAAGCGCTTGCCGCTGGGGTTCTGGGTGCGCATGGAGAAGTACGCGAGCGCGCCCTTCGTGGACGACCTTAAGCGCCACGACGACAGCCTCGCGAGGGACCTCGCGGGCCCGCTGGTGTTCATCGAGCCCCGCACGTCGGAGGCGTTCACCTTCCGCACCTCCAAGGTCACCCGGACGGGCTTCCCGTTCTCGCACGGCAGGGTCATCACCACGGTGGCGTGCCAGGGGCGCACCATGCGAGAAGGCGACGGGGCGGGGGAACGGCGCTCCGGGGACAGCGAAACCTCCGGGGCGCGAGCAGTCCGCAGCCAGACCTCGGTCCTGTGGACTCTCGCCGCCCTGGGCCGTCGGCTGCCGGGCGCACCGCTCCCTCGGCCGACGTCGCCCAGGCGTGATCCTGGACTGCGGCCGCCACGAGGTCGGGAACGGCAAGAAGGAGGACGACGACTGGTGGCTGGAGCTCTACGCGCTGCTCTCGCGCGCCACGCGACACGAGGACCTCCTGCTCATGCGGGCGCCGCGCATCGAGTTCTTCCTGGCCGGGCCGCCGGCGGGCTTGCGGAAGCAGCTGGAGCAGTTTGCGGCGCGCACGAAGCGGCGCAGGAGGGAGGCCACGGCCCTCGCCAAGGACCTCGGCTTCACTGAGTTTATCCGCGAGGCCTGACCTGAGGAGCGGCCCGCCCCAGCCGCTTCTTCTCTTGGCTGTCCGGCTGTTTGGCCTGGCGCCGCCGACGCTCCGCGCGCGTCGCTGGGGCCCTCTCGGGGCGATCAGCGCGCGTCGCCCGAACTCCGCGCTGCGCTCTGTCCAGCGCCTCGCTCGCCCGTCGTCGCTCCGCCCGGCGGCCAGAGCCATGCGCGCTATGAATTAGCCAGCAAGCAATCTCTGTTCCGCTCAGCGGACGAACCGCGCGCGTCACTGCGACCCCCTCGGGGCGACCTGTGCGAGTCGCGAGGGCTCCGCATGGCGCTGCGCCCGCAGCCTTGGACTTTGGAGTGCGCGGGCAAAGGACATGGAAAAAGGAGGAGAGGAAGCGGGCGCGATCCTCGCGTGGGGCGCGCCGACATGGGCGTCGCGGCGCGCGGGCGCTGCCGTCGAGGTTCCCAGGGAAGCCCCCCTGCAGAGGCTACGCCGCACAATTCGGCACACCTGCATACGGTTCGTGGCCCCATAGGGAGCGCCACCGAAGAAGATATCCAAAATTGCGGTACTCACAACTGCATATGGTTGGGTCCTTCGCCAGGCAAATATGGTTTTGTTTTTGTACCAGGGATGGTGGGGGGGGGTGCCCTCATGGTTCCTGGTTGACTACAAGTCGCCTGGGGGAGGTGGTGTTTATTAATAGGGAACAGTGATAAACCCCCTCCCCGAAGGGGAAGAAAGGGGGCTGGAAGAGGAGCCGCCCTAAACCACCTACGCCCAGAGGACTGGTGGGATCACGATCCCCCCCACCAAGAGGCAAACCTGTATCCAAAACCGTATGTAGTAAAATCGTTGATGTTGGCCTTCTCTTCGAGGCCAACAAGAACCTCTGACACCTCGCGGAACGCCCATTCCAAACCCATGGGGTAAGGGGGTAGGGGACACCCTCCTAGATAGCAAGCCGTCTAGTTCAATCCCACCCGCCCTCCCAACACAAAAGTACCACTCGAGCCTGAGCATCTTCAACGGTCGCTTTTGAATGGGCAGCTATAGGGAACCAAAACCGACCCCATGTGCGTGACGCTGGGACGAGGTGCGCCACCCGTGCCAGGCGCGCCACGCGCGCCAGGCATCCCTGAGGCAAAAGCGTGCCAGGCATGCCTGGTGCGCCAGATGCGCCACGTGATCCGCGTGCGCCAGGTGTGCCACATACTCCAGCCGCGCCAGGTGCATCACATTCGGGGCACGTGCAGAGTGTGTCAGGAGTGCCTGCGCACGTGACAGCACACATCGGGAAACATGCCGACCCCCACCATCCTTCTCGAAAACCAATGCCCATCATTGTGTCTGGTGGGCCTGCGCACAGCAGGCCATACGCCACCACCCCAACCGTCCCTGTCCAAAACTACTTGACAGTGATCGCGGGGTGGCCGTGTACGATCCAGATTTAGCCGCGATATGCATTTTGTATTGATTGTTTCAGGGATGATAGCCCTGCGCACAGCATGCAATATGCTGACACCCCCGCCGTCCCTGTCAAAAACAATACAACATGTTCGCGGGCCTCACGGACATGACTCAAGACTTTGCCCCAAAGTGTACTATGTCTTGTTTTTCACAGTGATGGTGGGGGGGCCGCGTCGGGTTGGCCGCGCATGCTCCAAATGTGGAGGCAGAGTGTGTGTT